TTATTATTATTATTATTATTATTGTTGAAGCAGTTGTGGTGCTTTTTTGAGGTGTTGATTTTTGTGGAAACTGATATGTTAAATGGAACAGTATTTATTTGATATAGAATTTTTTGTAACATTATAAGTGATTTTACTGCCATTTTTTATCAATTTAATGCATGTTTGCTGTAAAAGTATTAATATGAATTAATTAAAAGTATTAATTAATAAAAAAAATATTGACTGAACAAAGTACTAGTTTTCTGTAAATTCAAATTCTGTAAACTCGAAACTTGAATAGAATAACTATTAAATTATCTGATTGTTTCAAAGGAACAAAATAATCCTGTAATCACTTGATTAAGTCAACCTATTACTAAAATCAACAATAACAGGGTAAATAAAATATGGGGCAATATTTTTTGTAATACTAATTTTAAACAATATGTATTGTAAAAATGACATTAATTTAATTTTGAGTGATGTGATTTTCACATATTGGCTCTTAATAGTTTGAGTGTCTCTACTCCAGATGGAAAACCACTTTGATTTCATCTATCGCCTTGGAAAAAAAAACAAAAAAAAATGAAAGTGTTGTAACAAAAATGCTGATTTCACTACTAACAGCTTTAAAACCAACATTCAGGCACTGGACTGACCGTTCTAGAGTAGCTTCTAATCTCTTAGTCTTCTCAAATCCTGCATTTACAAGCAAGCCAACCTCATAAAAACCCCCGGAGGGCCCATATCTCATGGCCTATCAATACCATACTGATGTTTAAAACATTAGAGTGCCTGCATCAGGCTGCATGCTGTCAAAAGTTGCTTGATGAAATTGCAGGGCAGTCAGTTTAATCTTTCAAAATATCAGCAGCAAGTTCTATAGGAGGGCATGGGTGGAGTAGAGAGATGTATTACAGAGACATGATCAATGTGCTCTTAAGTGCAAAGACAGACTAAATGTAGATTGTTCAAAAGACACACATTTCATATTGGGTCCAAAGCAGAGGAGCTCTGGATGAGAGTCTTGAAAATGTTTGATTGCGTGACACAGTAGGATCTTTGAAAGATAGACTACTGCTCAAAAAATTGGGGTGAGTAAGATTGATTGATTGATTGATTTCAATACTGTTATTTAGCAAGGATACATTAATTTTATCAGAAGTAAATGTAAAAAACATTTATAATAAATAAACAAACAAACAAACAAACAATTTCAAATAAATGCTGTTCTTGAAATGCATTTGAATTTTCTATTCAACAAAGGATCCTCAAAAAATTATGGGTTTAACAAAAATATTATGCAGAACAATGGTAAATAATAATAATAATAATAATAATAATAATAATAATAATAATAATAATAATGAATGTTTATTGAGTACCAAATCAGCACTAAAATTATAACTAAAATAAAAGAGAAAATAAAGTATAGAATCTAATAAATAAAAAAAACAACTAAAATAACAGTATATAATTTATACTAAAATAACACTGGGATCATGTGACACAGATCTTTTCAACTATGTATCAAATAATCCTTTAAAAAAGAAGGTCATGGTTTCCACAAAAATATTAAGTTATATAATAACAAATGTTTAAGCAGCAAATCATCGCATTAGAATGATTTCTGAACAATCATGCGACACTGAAGACTGGAGTAATTCCTGCAAAAAAAAAATCAACTATGGAATAAATTACGTTTTAAAATATTAAAACAGAGAACTTTTATTTAACATGTAATAATATTACACAATATTACTGTTTTTACTGTCTTTTGGTGAAATAAATGCAGTCTTGGTGATCATATGAGATGTAAATCTTCTTACATGGTTTTACAAATGGAAACATTACATGAACTCACGCCGATTTGTTATAAAAGTAAAAGTTAGTGGTGTTCTTAGACAACATAGGCTACATGTAAAAAAAAAAAATTAAAAAATTAAAAAAAAAAAATTATAATATATGTCACTTCTAGAAAAATGTGCCACAGAGGGTAACCCTATCGACACTTGTGAATTCCAGTACTGCGTCTCAGCTTTAATGAGACTAGCATCTAATTAAAGGGACACACCATGTAATAACCTTGCCAGAACTCTATTAAAAGCCCTCTGCATCCTGAAGGAGAGGGTGACAGCTATGCCTGCATTCTGACATGACAATCTATAACTGCACAAAGCGTTGTGACAGCCCCCTCTCTACCTCCAGAGATATGGAAGTCAGAAGAGGGAGAGCAAGAGCAAGGCATGGAGAGAGACAGTGTGAGGAGGAGAAAAAGGAGTGGGAAAAAGGAAGGAGGGGGCACGTACGCCACATTTGCACATGTTCCTGAGAGACATCGCCAGGCATTGTGGCCAATGAAACAAAGCTTTGTCCTCTGTGCTGTTCCCTTTTGTGGCGCAAGTCAGGGGGATCAACAAGAATGTCAGCCGTTGCTGTGCTGCTCGTGATTGTGGCAGGAAAGTAATTGATGTTGGCTGACACATGCATCCCGATTTTCCGACAAGTCACAATGGAAGCCAATCTATCAGAATAGCCTGGTTCCAGTGCAGTATAGTAAAACCTCAGTGGTGGTTAAACACAGCAAATTGTCCGATGTTCCCTGTGCAATTAATCACTTTCTGTTGGACGCTCCCTGCTAAATTCCCAAAAGTGAATTCTTTCTCTTATACGAATCAACCTTAAACATCATTGACATGAGACAGGTAAGCAAACCAAATGTGTTACACTTGCTAATGTATTCATTTATGCAGAATGTGGGTAATGTGACTTGGATGGTATGGAAATCGTAACACATTAATATGGAGATATGGTGGTCACTTGGTTGGATTATAATAATTACAGCTTTGCCGTCTGAACCCGTGCGGGTTTTCATTGAACAAACCTTTCAGCCATCGATTGGATCACCTGTATCTGACTTCTGCGAAGTCCATGCAAATAAAGCTGTCATTAAATAAAGCAATCCATCCATGATAATTACACTCCACACCGTCTATAGAGCATCGTATATAACAAAGAGCCCACTGTACCTTGGCATGCAGCGGAAGTACTGTAGGTGTTTTAATTACTGTTCCCTCAAATGATCTCCAGGTGAAGGTGATGGAGGTGAGAGGGGCTCAGACAGCCTCTCTGTGTCTGAGTCATCATGAGCAGATTGAGTCGAGCGTTTGGGAGGTAGGGAGGTGAGCAAGTGGGGAGCTGGAGCTTAAATCAGACTTCCTATAAAGTAAAATCAAGCACAGCACCAGCGCATAGCAACAGTGAGGTCATGTGCACATGACCTGTATGTATCTTATGAGTCTGGGGACTGCAGAATGCTTTTTTCCACTATGGTCAGGTATTCACTTAAACAGTGAGGTCCAACAGACTGAGCACACATTGAAAACTGCGATTTTTTAAATGTTTTTATTTATTTATTTTTATTTTTTGGAAGCTTTTGGAAGCACATTCATGAACACAACCAATTCTACAATTCTGAATGCACAATCCACAATATTCTCCAATAAAAAAGGAACATACATTACTGATAATTTGGGTAATAAGACACTGACTTGCATATGTATTTAAACTTCAAAAGTTGAATGAACATATTTTACCTGCCCTCAATGGGAAGCAATGTCAGTATGCTGTAATTTAGAGCACTGTGTCCTTAATCGAGAATCACTGTACCACAGAAAAAAAAAAAACGAAACACACACCTATTCGCATTAATGCCTATGCAGGCACATTAAAAGAGATGTTCAGCTCGCAGAGTTGCAGGGTAAGAGCTTACACGGCTCATACGTGGCCTAATTCTGTCTTCATTCTTTAGAGGGAGTGCATTATCAGCCTCCTACCAGTTCACTGCCTCCTGCCCAATACACTCGCCTCTCCCACTAAGAACTACGGCCGGCAGAGAAAAGCACTTACTTCTGGCTTTTAGAGCCGTCTG